TCCTCTTGATTCAATTTTGGCAGATCATATTTGTCTAGAAATGTATCCATTTCTTCTAGGTTTTCCAAATTTTTGGAAAATATTTTCAAGATAGTCCCTAATGATTTGCTGGATTTCTATGATCTGTGGTGATATCTCCATTTTCATCTGTAATTTTATTAATTTGAATCTTCTTTTTCTTTTGGTTAGCTTGGCTAACAGCTTATCAATCTTGCTTATCTTTTCAAAGAACCAATTCTTTTCTTCATTCATCCTTTATATTGCTCATTGATCTTGGTTCGTTGATTTTGGCTCTCAATTATTTCTTTTCTTCTACTGGTTTGGGAATTGGTTTATTTTTCTTTTTCAAGAGCTTTGAGATGTATCATTAGGTTGTTGATTTGGGATCTTTCTGATTTTTTAATGTAGGAACGCATATCTATCAACTTTCCTCTTAGAACCGCTTTCACAGCATCCCAAAGGTTCTGGTATATTATATCACTATTCTCATTTGAGTCTAAGAATTTTTTTTTTTTTTTGTACCAGGGATTGAACTCAGGGGCACTCCACCACTGAGCCACCTCCATAGCCCTATTTTGTATTTTATTTTATTTTATTGTAGTTGTAGATGGACAAATGCCTTTATTTTGTTCATTTTTATGTGGTGCTAAGAATCAAACCCAGTGTCTCACATGTGCTAGGCAAGGGCTCTGCCACCAAGCCTGTATTTTGTATTTTATTTGATTTTTGTCTTTAATTCTATTTATGTGATGGCAGGGCTCACCCCGTTGCTTAGCACCTCACTTTTGCTGAGACTGGCTTTCAACTCACAATCCTCTTGCCTCAGCCTCCCAAGCTGCTGGGATTACAGGCGAATGCCACTGTACCTGGCTGGGTCTAAAAATTTTTAAATTTCTTCCCTGACTTCTATAACCCATTCATCATAGAACAAAAAAATTTTAAAGATAGTTTTGTCTGTTATTATGTATATATCTCCCCCATAACCACTTAACATCATGCTTGATGTTTAATAAATTGGCTTAATAAGAACAAAATCAAACCTAAATTTTGTCCCCCCCCAACTTAATATGGAATTTTAAGTATACCACAAAACTCTTCAATAAGATTTGTCTCCCTTAAAGAGGAACTCAGATCTAAACTCACACAAGAATATGGGAGATATGTGGGCATGAACTCTGAATCTATTTTTGGTACTAGGGATTGAACCCAGGGGCACTTTACCACTGAGCTATATCTATACCCCTTTTTATTTTTTATTTTGAGACAGGGTCTTGCTAAGTTGCTTAGGGCCTTATTAAGTTGTTAAGGCTGGCCTTGAACTTGCAATCCTCCTGCCTCAGCCTCCTGTTGCTGGCATTATAGGTGTGCATCATTGAACCCAGCAAGTTTGCATATCTTTGGTGATCTTCAATTTCTTTCTAATACTGATTTATACAAGATTTTTTTTAACTCTGTGCCTCAATTTTGACTGTTTATATTTTCCTAAAAAATTATTCATGTTTTCTTGGATTTTTCACTTTTACTTGGCTTAAACTCAAAAATTAAATTTTCTTTTCCTTTTGGTGGTACTAGAGATCAAACCCAGGGCTTTGGACTTGTTCTGTATCCCTGAGCTATACCCTCAGCTCCTACTTTTTTTTTTGTTGTTGTTGTTTTGGTACCAGGTATTGAACCCAGGGGTACTTTACCACTGAAGCACATGTCCAGCCCTTTTAAAATATTTTATTCAACTGAGTTCTTAGGGCCTTTCCAAGTTGCTGAAGTTTTGAACTCCTGATCCTCAGCCTCCTGAGCTGCTGGAACTACAGACATGTGCCTGTGTACCTGGCTTCCTATGTTTGTTTAAGTGAGAATTCATTAGAATCTATTTTTAACCTTGTTAATTTCTTCATATACTCTTCTGGTTTATTTTGTATGCTTCTGGTTTTATGAATTGGGTGCTTACTTTTAAAATGTGTAAGGCTATGAATTTTTTCTAAAGAAGGTTTTGGTTAAATCCCATAGAATGTAGTGTAGTGTTCTGTTTATTTCTGTAACCTAAGGGCTATTTTAAAAATGGCTTAACAATGTTGGGGGGTTAGTGTTTTCTTTTTTGAAGGAGAAAGTTTTTCACTGTTAATTTCAGGCTTTTTGCAATATATTAATAGGATGTGACCTGTTATGATTTCTACTTTTAGGAATTTGTTTTCTAAGGCCTGGCATGGTAGTGCATACCTATAAATCCCAGCTGCTCAGAAGGATGATAAGGCAGGAGGATTCCAAGTTTGAGGTCAGCCTGGACAACTTAGTGAGACCCTGTCTCAAAATAGGGGTAGTGGTGGTATATTTAGAAGCATTACAATTTCATATCTTTTGGGCCCGGGTTTCTATATATAGTGGACTCTCTTAGCCAACTAAGCCAATTATTCAAAATCTTTCTGTCCTTGAGACCTGTTTAAAGCTTCCTTGTTCACGTAGTTTTGGCACATTTTTCTCTTTTTCTATAAGTTCTTACTTTATATATTTGTTGTAACTTTATGTTCTGAAAGTCTATTTCCATCTAATTTAATGCTAACTTCCTGATTTCTTAAGTCCTTCCTAATTCTAAGACTCAGAGATTCTACCTCCAGAAATGGAACTCAGAGAATGCTGAGATTCTGATCTCCTGACTGATGCTTAGCTAGGCAATATTGCTGAGCTTATGGGTGGCACAAGTGATTACTCTGGGGTTTTAATGCTGTTGCTAGCCCTGGACATTAGTATCCATGTCACTGATAACAGTTAAATGTCCAAAAGGGTAAGAACATGATTTAACCATTAACTCTTTCAAAACCTCCCTTTTTCCAGGTGGGGTGGGCAGAGGCCTGTAAGCCAACAGCCTGGGGAGGTTGAGGTAGGATGAATGCAAGAGGGCACTCTCAGCAACTTAGTTAAGACTCCGTTTCAAAATTAAAAAACAAACAAACAACAACAACAACAAAAACCCGCTGGGGACGGAGGGTGGGGATCAGTGGTTAAGTACCCCTGTGTTCAACCCCCAGTACAAAAACAAAACAAAAAAACTAAAACCAAAATCCAAAAAAAAAAAAAACTCCCTTTAATGGACCTGAGCGACTCTGCCACCTTTAAAGACAAAAACTGCTTAAACAACATCTAAGAGGGACCATATTGTGGTGGAAGGAATGCTCTGAATCTTGGGTTCTAGTTCTTGCACTAAATCTTAGTGTGATATCTGATTCTAGGAAAACCACGAGGCTATTTGAATTCCCTTACAAGTAGCTTTAAAGGCAGTGATCAAAAATACAAACCCAGTGCTTGGCCTCGCAGCAGCACTAGAGTTCTGTCGTCCCCTCCTACCCACCTTGAGATCGCCGACTTGAGTCGTGGTGAGTTTGAGTTCTTCTAGTTTGGCAGAGACTAACCCAGGAAGAAGGGCAAGCTGAATGGACTAGGAAATGTGGGTGCGCGTTACCATATTTCTCTCTTTGTTTCTATACAGTAACATAATCTCGGATTACTTCTCCAGCTTCAACACATCTTCCTACCTCGCCTTCTTCGGCTGCGGCTTCTTTCAAGTCCGCATCTCCGTCTCCATCCGTTTCCTCTGGGATTCCGTCGTTGTCGGTAGTCCCGGGGACACCGGGAGGAACGGTCGTCTCATCTGACTCCCCTGTCTCTCCACCTTTGTCCGCCGGCGACTCTCGGGCATTGTCCATCGCCGCCGGGATTGGAGCAGAGATCTCAGAGCTGTCAGGTGCGGCGCTGCACAGTAGGTCAGGAGCTTACTTCCTGCTGTCGCGCTGCGATGACATCATCCCTACAGCTCCGCGGAGGGGTCATTTTGAAGCGCGCTAAATGACTTGAAGAGCTCTGGCTTTGTGGTAGTGGGAAGAAGAAAAATAGGAAGTGTGCATTCTCCTCTCTAGAAAACCAGCATTTGTGAGGGGGAGTAGTTTTGTTCACTGAAAGACTCATTTTTTTTTCCTTTCCGCCTTTCTAATAATATAATGTTAACCCCTTCCTTAGCCTCTCTCCCTCAGAGTAAAGTTAGGGTACGGGGTTAAAACTCAGTTCCGTTGCATGTTGGTGTCGGGGAATGCAGCTACCTTTGGCTGGCAAACTTTTAAGCAGGGATTCAGGCATGTACCTTCCAATTAGACGGTGGCCGCAGGCCTGTATTTACTATTGAATGGTTAGCATTTCCTTTCTATTTCGCAACCACTTAGGCGGGAGTGGAGATGGGAGAGGGACTGGGAGAGCCGAAGCAGTATTAATCTAATTCATTTATTCACTCCACAACTATTGATCGCTTACTTCGAGTCAGGAACATTGCTAGTATCGTGGATCGACAGACAATTTCTACTGAATCTCATACTTTCTTTTTCTTTTTTTTCTCCAGCTCAGCAGTAGTAACCAAACTTAAGATCGAGTGTGGTTTTACAAACCTGACTTTTTCTTTTAAAAATTAGTTTGGTTAATTTCATCAAAACTAGGAAGAAAGCCTACAAAGAGGGAGGTCTCTCTTTTGCACGTTTCACTTAAATGAATCTTTTCATGGAGTGGCAATGATATTTTTTATTTTAAAAATTTCCTGTCTTCCAACATTGAGATACGAGTTGGGCGTTTTATTCACCTGTGTATCACTAGGTCTCCGCATCTACAACATACTTAATGTAGTGTGCTGAATGGGCTAGGAAATGCGGGTGCGCGTTACCATATTTCTCTCTTTGTTTCTGTACTGCCTGGACGAATTACCGTATTTCCAGTCCCGTGAGCTCCTGAAACCTTTGGGGAAGGAGCGCGCTTCTGGAGGCGCGTACAGGTGGGCCCCGTTTGTTCTCTTCCACCTGCTCAGTGGTGCCCACGCGTGACATTGACACTTCGCTCTGCCAGGCGGGTCGCAGAACAGCCAAGTCCACCTGCGCGGGCCCGCGGAGCCCCGCCCAGCTAGGTGGGCAAGGGGGCGGGGCGCGGGGGCGCGGTGACGCGTGACGCCAGATCCCGGAAGTGACGCGCTCTCGGGGGGGGAGAGGCGGGGGGGGGGGGGGGGGGTGTCCCCGGCCGGTTTGGGGGGTGCGTTGCCCGGAGACGGAAAGTTTGGGAGCCCGTGCAGGCTTGGCGGCGGCCCCGGGGAGGGGGTCCAGGGGGTGGCGGCCCTGGGGATGGGGAAGGAGCAGGAGCTGCTGGAGGCGGCCCGCACCGGGCACCTCCCGGCCGTGGAGAAGCTGCTGTCCGGGAAGCGGCTCTCCTCGGGCTTCGGGGGCGGCGGCGGCGGCGGCGGCTCCGGGGGCGGCGGCGGGGGCGGCGGCGGCCTCGGCTCTTCCAGCCACCCTCTCTCCAGTCTGCTCAGGTGGGTACGCGCCGCGCCGGGCCGACGCCTGGAGACCCGCTCCCCCGCAGGTCTCTTGGATCCCCAGAGAGGTCGTGGCTCCAGGGACCCGGGCGGGGTGGGCTTGCGTCGTGTCCCGGGGCGAGGACCCTCGGAGCCGGGAGCCCGAAGGGGCGCGGGTGCGGGTCCGCGCGGAGCCTGGCTCTCCTGGTTTCGCGTGCTGACCCCGCTGCGAAGAATGGTGGGAGTGCCCAGGTGGCAGCCTCCGCCGCATGGCACAGCCCGGCTTCACCCTTGCCGCTCTAGGTGCCAGCTGTCGTTTCTCACAAAAGCCACCTTAGAGCAAACATACACAGCTCAAATCTCCCTCGCCTCCTGCAGATACTCGCACGCCTTGCAGAGTCTTGCGGCTTCCCGGAGGGAATTCTGTTGATTTCCTTCTCTTAGGAACTTGGAACCTTCGACAGAGCTCTATGGGACTGGACTTTTGTTTATATTAAAATCGTCCCTGGGTTTACCCCATTCTAAGTGTTCATCTTTGAGCCCCTCTAGTGCTTGAAGCTCAAATTGTAGTTCCTTGTTGTCAACCTCACTGGATTAGTCTAAGCGGCATATGCAGGATTCATTAGGGGGCTTATCCATTAAGAAATATTCAAAAAGTCTTGCTTAGGAAACTGAGAAGTGCTTTAAACTTTCCGAGATCTGTTGAAATAAACACTTGAGTCTGGGACTGCAAGGCTTGAGGGGAAAAGATCACTTTTGTGTGGCTTGGAAGGGGGATTGGAGGTGCTTTGTCAGCGTGAGTAAAATATGTTGGTTCAGCAGTGCTTTCATAGCCTGTTTTCTTTTCCTTCCTTGTTCTTCTGGGGTTTTTAAGAAGTGGAAGTTCATTTAGAAATGGCTTTGGTAGCTTTTGTTCCCCATTAGTTTATGTAACTTCGATTTGTGTGAGCTTGGACCAAAAAAGCCCCAGGCTCTCATAAATCGTTAGGTATTAAGCACGGAGTACCAACCCAGATCTTTACAGGAAGGTTTTTGAAGGCAAGAGTAGAACCCTCCCCAGGAGCTGCCTTTGGAGAAGAAAAATATGCTACTGTTGCTGCTGTTTCTCTAGCCCTTAGAACAGTGCTGGCTCATAGTAGGTACTCAAGATTTGTTGAATAAATAAAAGTTATCATTTGGAGAACAGTCAATTTATGAATAATCTGGTAGTGTTACTATAATTTTTGGTAGTTTGGAGAACAGAGACATCACTTTGGAATGTGGGGGAGCTCAGGGTCTTCTAGAGGAGGGGGAGTTAAGCTGGCCTTGAAGATATGAGGGTTTGTAAGATCAAGTGTGGTGGGAAGGTTCCAAGTGGGCACACCATGATCAGAATCAGATATGAGAAAGGAGATTTATTTGGTGCTTGTGGGGCACAACTTCTTACTTGGACTCTTGAGTATTTGGGCCAGATAAAGGTAAATAATAATGACTGGTATACTTCTATCTGAGTGACAAGTGTTTCTTATATTAATACTCCTGTTCTTAGATTAATGCCTGATGACCCACGGGTGCTCATTAATGTATGTTGAATGTATGTCCTGGGTCTTGAATCCTACCTAGATTGTTTGACCCTCTGCAGTTCTGATGTCAGAGGTAAGGGAAAGACATGGAGGTTTGGAGGAGCATCTTTCTCTCTGGAATTGGTGATATGGCATTTGGAGAGTTGCTAAAGCTTAGTGAACATCTTTCTCTCTCTTCAGTACAGGTCGAGTTATTCTTAATGCTCTCATTCAGATACTGTTGAATTTTTTGCTGAGGATTTAGCCACCGTGTAGTTAAGACAAGGAAGCCTGATGAGCACAGTATTTTTACTTTGGTCCTCTTGATGGTTTGTCCAGTCTCTGCCATAAGCTGTGGGTGTGTCTCCCCTCCCCAGAGTTGGAGAGCTGACTCCTGACTTGCCCTGTGTCTGTTGTAGAGGCCATAGATGCCCGAGTTTCCCAGCCCCCGGCTCCTGTGACTGCTAGGGGTAAGGAGGATCTTCAGGCACTTGTTATATTAGGTGTGTCATTAATTAGAGGAAAACTCTGGTTAAACTTTGTGAAAGATTTCTGAGCAAATGAGACCATGCATTTTAATAATCCCTAGGCCAGTCTTTCTTTTTAAAAAATTTTTTTCTTTTTAGTTGTTGATGGACCTTGAATTTATTTACGTATTTATGTATTTATTTATTTTTATGTGATGCTGAGACAATCGAACCTAGTCCATCACACATGCTAGACAAATGCTCTACCACTGAGCCACAACCCCAGCCCCAGCTTGTCTTTCTTTTTGTAAGTTTGGAAATAGTAGAGGTGATTCCTCTATGCTCCCAACCCCCACCCCCCTCTCTGACAAGGACCCTGGGTTATTTAATGAGAGCTGTGGAATTATAGCTTCACATCTGGCCTTTGTCTCAGCTGTTGTACCTACCTTTGTTCAACTATTTGAGGAGCTTACAGCTGCAGTGGGTATAGATGTTTCAAACACGTGTGTTTATTCATGTGTTTATCATCTCCTTCTTTTATTCCACAAAGGTTTTGTGGTTATAATTAAGTTCCAAAATGCCTTCTCTTAGCCCATCTCTTTTTTCTATACTGCTTTGGCTTAAGTCTTCTTAAAGTCCTTCCTGGTGATCCTAATAAACATAGATCTCCTGAGCTTCTACTTTCTGAGTATAGTCAGAAATCCTCACCTTTCAGAGTATACCTGAGAATCAGAAAGTCAGTCAAGATGACTTCTACTAGGAACAAAAGAGTTGTCCTGTTTTTCTGATCCTCACTTGTTTACTGTACTGACTTTCTACAAGTTAACCACTTTGAGCCTCAATTTCTATGTCTGTAAAATGGGGATAATATTACCTGCCTTATAGGTAATGTCTGAGATAGTATATGTAACAGGCTTATCACAATTTCTAGTACATTCAAGTTCTCACTGGTAGCCATCTTTGGCTTATCACATACAGTTTTGCCATGTTGCACCTGCCATGTGCAGGTTACTGTGCCAGGCACATTTTACCTAGTGTTCTTTCATGTTTGGTGATCTGTTTTTCCCACCATGGCAGATTAGAAGCAATAAGGGAGAGGACCTGCTCAGGCAGACATATTAATGCCATTTGTTAAACCAATGTTTATTCATCATTGACTTTGTGTCTGGCCAAGTGATTGCCAGCTGCCCTGTAAAATTTATGGTAGACCTAGCACATTGTAGGTGCTGTTCTCAGAATTAGGCCCTCTCCCACTGTGGTCTTACTGAGGTTATGGTAGTGTGGTATGTCTGTGTGAGAGATTGACCAAAAAAAGAAACCCAGCTCTCAGTCCCCCAGTCTTTCAAAGTTATTGTCATAGATGTTTATAACCCTATACACCTAAGTAGGCCCACACATCATTGTACTATATCTTAGTGCTATAATTTGTTTATAATGACTTTTAGCCATTAAATAAAGATTATGTTCCATATAACATTAATAAAAGGAGGAAATTTTATAAATATATTTTAGCTTTCTATCCAAAATATAATTTTTTATTAACTTAATCTTTTTTTCTTTTTTTAAAAAAATATTTATTTCTTAGTTTTAGTTTTTTTTTTTGTACTGGGAATTGAACCCAGGTGCTTTACCACTGCTTGGTGATCTGTTTTTCAGCCTTTTTTGTTTTTTATTTTAAGACAGGTTCTCACTAAGTTGCTGAAACAGGCCTCAAACTTGTGATCTTCCTGCCTCAGGCTCCCAAGTTGCTGGGATTACAGGCATGCTCCACCATGCCTGGCCATCACTTAATCTTTTTTGAGATGGGATCTCACTATGTTGCCTAGGATGGTCTTGAATTCCTCAGCTCAGATGATCCTCCTACCTCAGCCTCCCAAGTAGCTGGGATTACAGATCTGTGCCACCATAATTTTTGTTACTTTAAAGTATAAGCAATATATTTTCTAGAAAGCATAATTACCCAAAATGTAGTTCCTGCAGAAGTTCTGAATTGCATTGATTATACTTTATGTAACCCTGACTCCTTTCTGTTTAATAGATAGATGCTTTCAGGCTATAGCTTGGGACAGGTACTGTATTAAACTTCTAGTCCCAGGCACATAGCAGGCATTCACATTCTCATGTAATAAAGAGTTTGCTATGTTGAGGGTATAGTGAAAGTACTAATTTCTAAGAAAGCAATTTTGGTCTGAGAATGCAGTATGATTTCGGTTAAAAATGAAGTCTAACAACTAAAAAGCCAAAAGATCTGAGAAAAGAAAATGTTAAAATAAAACTCATCATATAATAACTTGAAACTTAGGTTGAATCATGTACTGATGTATGTGAGTGGAAAGATAAAGTGAAATACATTCCTCAGGGTTCAGAAGTAGAGAAACCAAACCAAAGGTTGTAGTTGTGTGAAATTGTGGTAGAGACTTATATCATGGTTTAGGAAAATTCTATCCTTATTTTTTTTTTTTTAGTTGTAGATGGACACAATACTTGTATTTTATTTATTTTTATGTGGTGTTAAGGATCTAACTCAATGCCTCACATGTGCAGGCAAGCACTCTACCGCTGAATTATAACTCCAGTTCCCTATAACCTTAATTTCTTTTTCTTTTTGTAATTGTAGATGGACAGAATGCCTTTATTTTATTTGTTCATTTATAGGTGGCGCTAAGGATCGAACCCAGTGCCTCACACATGCTAGGCAAGTGCTCTGCCATTGAGCCCCAGCCCCAGCCTTAGCCTTAATTTCTTAAGCATAAGAAGAATGAATAAAAATGGGGCAGAAAGGAGGCTTGCTGGAGAAATCTAAAATCTGTAGACAGTTGCAATAAATGTGGGTATAAGTTCATTCTTACTCTGCAGTCTTGTGAAAAAAGAAAAAAAAATCCTAAAATAGATGTGAATTTCCTGAGATATGAAAGGATTCTGAAATAAGGAATGAATAATGAAAGATTTAAAATATGGGCTCCTTTTTGTGGACAGTAACAGATTCCCTCAAATGTCAGAATATATGACA